CAACTGTTTGTTGCTGTTGCCATGGTGATGATGACAGGACTTGTAGTGCCTGAAAGCAATGAAGTCTAGGTAATAAACTAAGAGAGCTTCACTTGAAGCCATCAACAAATGGAGGCTCCCTTTGTAGTTTGTTCCAATGATTAATCACCATCACTGGTAAAATGTTGCTCCTAAGTTCTGATTGAATTTACCTAGCTTCAGTTTTGAGCCTATGGTTCTTGGTCACTCCCTCTCTGGTAGATTAAATGGCTCCATTAGTCCCGGTATTTTTGCCCCAGGTACATATAGGCTGTAATCAAGTCAGCTTTTGATCAAACAGATAGAGCTCATTAAGTCTCTCACTGTGAGGCATTTTTCTAGATCATTTTTGTGGCTCTTTTCTACATCACCTCCAATTTTTCAAGAGCCTTTTTAAAATGCAGATCCCAGAGCTGGATGCAAAGTCTCACCAACACATGCAGAGGTAAAATTCCTCCCTGCTCCTGCTTGCTACTCCTGGTTTGGACATCCAAGGGTTGCATCAAAGTGCTTCTTGTCACAGTGTCGCACTGAGAGCTCATGTTAAGGTGCTTCTCCATTGTGACCCCAAGGCCCTTTCCTTGGTCCTAGATGAATAACTTGGCATTTGGTTGTACGCTTACCAGGTGCTCCAGATGACTCTGTCTGACTGCCCTGTCCTCAGCATTAGTTACCCCTCTACAAACATGATCGATGCTGATGTTGTGTTTAATTCCAGGTCATTGATGAGCATGTTGAATAGCATCAGACCTGGTAGCAGTCCCTGAGAAGCCCATTACAAACACATCTGTTCAGTGATGGTTCCCCATTGGCAACTCCTCTTTGAGATCTCTCTGTTAGCCAATTCGTAATCCATTTAATGCTTCATTGATAGTGGAGAGTATTAATTTTCCAGTCAGATTGTCATGCAGTATTAACTCAAATACCTCACCAGTCTGTTACAGTTGTGCAGTTGTGGTGCACTGGCAGTACCATCCCAGTAGTGTCTGCCAGCCCTTCCCCCATCCCCATGTGACACAAGCTTTCCGGTTGCAGACATGCCACTGGCAAAGGCCAGCATGGGAACTTCCTGGTGGCCATCAAGCAGGAGAAGGGGGAGGTTCCCCGGACCAGTAACGAGAAGCCCCTTGGTGAGGAGGAGGTGAGCTGGCGCTAGTGCAGCAGGACGGTGCAGTGGTGGCTGGGTTACAGCGCTGCAGGGAGTGGGGGGTTGGGTCCAACCGGGAGCTGCTTTGCTGGGGTTTTGTGCGTAAGCCTGTGCACAGACATGCATTTGCTCACATGGCAGTAGTCCTAGCGCAGCTGTCGCATGCTGGGGGGCCTTGTGCTGCAGCACAGGGCTGGGAAGAACGGCCAGTGGCTCTGGGCCTGGGGGGGCTAACTGCACAGGATTGCAAGGCGCTCTGTACCTCACCCCTGCCAACGCGGTCACTGAGCTCCAGTCCAGCATGTTGGTTGGTTTCTTTCCCTCCCCTGCTGTGGGGCAACAGCCAGTGAAGAAGAGAGGCTGGCCCAAAGGGAAGAAGAGGAAGAAGATCCTGCCCAATGGCCCCAAGGCCCCGGTGACGGGCTATGTCCGCTTCCTGAACGAACGCCGTGAGCAGATCCGCATGCAGCATCCCGACCTGCCCTTCCCGGAGATCACCAAGATGCTGGGAGCTGAATGGAGCAAACTACAGCCTGTGGACAAACAGGTGCTGGGGGAGATGGGGAGTCACCCCTTGTGTTAACCCGGCCATGGGACCCGGCTGCCAGCCATGCTCCGTACCCACTCAGGCTGTTGGCCCCGTCCCGCACCACCAGCCCCATGCAAGAACCTCTCGTGAGTAGGATAGGCTGCGTCCAAGGGAGGCTGGGTGGGGTCCGTGGGACGGGTCCCAAAGCTTTTGCCTAATCAGCTGCAGTGCTCTGTGTTTGGGGCCTGTTCCCGTCCGTACCTGCAGGGCGTATGTCTAGCAGCTGGACTGGAGGCTGGGGTGTCGGCCAGTAGCGGACTCCTCATGGCTACCTGGTTGGGTTGCCATTGGCAGCCGAGGGAGCAGGGCCTTGCGTGCTGGGCTAGACTCCAGGAGTCACGCCCTGGAATATTTGCTGGGATCCGGGCTGGGGGGTATTGTCTAGGGCTGTGCTGTGGTCTGTGCCATGACCCCATGTGGTTCCAGCGGTACCTGGACGAGGCGGAGCGCGAGAAGCAGCAGTACATGAAGGAGCTGCGGGAGTACCAGCAGTCGGAGGCCTACAAGATGTGCACAGAGAAGATCCAGGAGAAGAAGATCAAGAAAGGTTGGTGCGGGGGGCTGGGTTTCAGCTCCTGTCCTGCCCCCACTGGCACTGAGGGACTGGAAGCACTGTGGACCCCGGGGGCGGGGAAGGAGCTGGCAGCATGTCTTTCACTGCCATGTGCTGAAAAGTGGCCCTGGCATGGCAGGATGAGGGCATTAACCTCTGACCCCTTTGTGCCCCCAGAGGATGCTGGTTCTGCGTCTGTGAATACTCTGCTGAATGGGCACTTGCACAAGGTAAGTACCCCGGTGGCTCTCCCCAGAGCAGGCAGTGCCTGGGGGTGGGGCTGGGGAGCCAGGTGCCAGCTGGGGGAGCTCTCCAGCTGCATGTGGGGGGTGAGGGGTGAAGAGGGGCCTGGCTCCATGTAGGGCACAGACAGCTCCCGCCTAGGGCACCATGCCAGGGGCTTCCTGTCTCTCCCCTGCCACCTAATGGTCCTTGGCAGACTTGCTGCATGTGACTGTGGCTGAAGAGTGTGACGGGGTCTCGGCTGCAGACTGGGCTGTAGCATGTGGAGCTGAGCCTGTAACAGTCGTGGGCAGTTATTGTGCAGCCTTTAAAATACCCTGTCCAGGTGCCAGGCCAGGGACTGTGGGGCTGTGCTGGGATTGGCTGGGCTCCTTGCACCTTGATGCCTTCCCCCAACCCCTGGGCTGACGCAGAGCAGCTGTGTGTGACCCCCAGGGGAGGCTGGGATCCCTCCAGGCAAAGGGGAGTTCGACCCTCAGCCTAGAGTCGGCCTGTGCTGGCCCCTGGCCATTAACTGGTGTCTGCTCCCGGCCAGGGCGGGGACTGTGGCGGGGATGGCTTCTCCACGTTCGACGTGCCTATCTTCACCGAGGAATTCTTGGACCAGAACAAAGGTACTGAGCCTGGGGGGACAGGATTTCACTCGTGGGGCAGGGACCAGTCCGCGTTTTGGTCCCTAGCATGTCGCCACTGCACAGCCTGGCCAGGCCCTGGGTTTTCACCTCCCATGCGCACGGGGCAGGCCCAGGGTCCCTGGTGTAAAGCCCCTTGGCCTGCCATAGCCCATCCCACTGGCGGATGCCTGCTCCTGCCCAGAAAGGCAAACCCGGCCCCTCCCGCCTGAGCCTCTCGGCACCATGGCAGGGGGCCAGGGGAATGGAGTCGCTGGCCCCAGCATCCTGCCCGAGGCGACTTCTGCCTCAGTTGTCCCTGCATGGGCCGGGTGTGGGGCTAATGGGCCAAGAACATGGGCAGCACCTGGCTGGGGCCCCTGGGCTCTGCCGTGACCCAAGTTGCCCATGGCAGCGCTGGTTGGCCCCGGGCCTGTCTGAAGCTGGGGGGAGCCCGGGCCTTCCCTGTTCTCTGCACTGACCCGCCCCCTGTCTGTGTGGGGCAGCGCGGGAGGCAGAGCTGCGGCGCCTGCGGAAGATGAACACGGAGTTTGAGGAGCAAAACGCCATCCTGCAGAAGCACACGGAGAGCATGAGCTGCGCCAAGGAGAAGCTGGAGCAGGAGCTGGCGCTGGAGGAGAGGCAGACGCTGGCCCTGCAGCAGCAGCTCCAGTCTGTCCGGCAGGCCCTGACCACCAGCTTCGCTGCCCTCCCCATCCCAGGTGGGCTTAGGAAGCGGAGGGAGGAGGATCATGGGAGCCGCCCCCAGCCAGCCTCTCCCTGACGGAGAGCATGAGCTGCGCCAAGGAGAAGCTGGAGCAGGAGCTGGCGCTGGAGGAGAGGCAGACGCTGGCCCTGCAGCAGCAGCTCCAGTCTGTCCGGCAGGCCCTGACCACCAGCTTCGCTGCCCTCCCCATCCCAGGTGGGCTTAGGAAGCGGAGGGAGGAGGATCATGGGAGCCGCCCCCAGCCAGCCTCTCCCTGAACAGCCCCCTGGCTGGCGGTGGGGCTCTGCCCGTGGGCGGCTGGCGGGGGGGGG